CTCCAGCATGTGTTGTCACTTGAGTTATTCATCTTAGCCATTCTGATAGGTGTAAGGTGAGCCTACAGACTGGGAAAGGATCTTCAATAACCTATATCTGACAGAGGGCTGATATCCAGCATATGTAAAGAACTAAAGAAGTTAAAAAGCGATAAATCAAGTAATTCAATTAAAAAATGGGGTAAGGAGCTAAACAGAGAATTCTCTGTAGAGGAATATAGAATGACAGAGATACAGTTAAAGAGATGCTCAACATCCTTAGCTATCAGGGAGATGCAAATCAAAACAACCCTGAGGTTTCACCTTACAGCCATCAGAAGCTCTGATTCTTGCAACACAACACCATGGTTGGGCAAGGTTCTCCCAGATCTTTGAAATGAAGCTGGAACAGGATGGGATCTCAGGATCCTGGTCCTTCACTACCCTCTGGTGGTGGCTTCATTCCATTGCAGCGAGTTCCTTAAAAGAGAAGTTTAGCCTGCTATCTCAGAACCTTGACTGTGTTAAACTCTCCCTCTATCCCTCCTTCGCTCCCTCCCTCCGTCTCTGTCTCTCTCTACCTGCTCCTCTTCTTGCAAGAGGGGAGAGTTCACCCTCAAATTTTGAAGACTCATTCTGCAGTCTCCTCTATTCTCAGTCTCTTCTCCGTAGGAGCTCCTTTAGAAGTGTGTTGCATGAAAATTGCAGGCAAATGCGGGAACTAGAAAAGGTCATCCCGAGTGAGGTATCCTAGAAACAGAATGACACACATGGTATTTTCTCACCTATAAGTGGATTGTAGACCTACAGTATAGGATAAACATACTAAAATCTGTACACCTAAAGAAGCTAGGCAAGAAGGAGGTCCCTGGGTAAGATGATCAATATTCTTTCAGAAAGGCAAATGGGATAGACATTGGAAGAGGGAGAAAACAGGGAATAGGACAGGAGCCACCACAGAGGGCCTTTGAAAGACTCTACTCAGCAGGGTTTTAAAGCAGATTCTGAGACTAATAGCCAAACTTTGGGCCAAGTGCAGGAAATCTTATGAAAGAAGGGGGAGAGAGAAAGACCTGGAGGGGATAGGTGCTCTACAAGGAGAGCAACAGAACCAAAAAATCTGGGCACAGGGGTCTTTTCTGAGACTGATACTGCAACCAAGGACCATGCATGGAGATAACCTAGAACACCTGCATAGATGTAGCCCATGGCAGCCCAGTGTCCAAGTGGGTATCCTAGTAAGGGGAGCAGGGGCTGTCTCTGACATGAACTCAGTGACTGGCTCTTTGATCATCTTCCCCTGAGGGGGAAACAGTCTTACCAGACCACAGAAGAAGACAATGCAGCCAGCATTGATGAGACCTGATAGGCTAGGGTTAGATGGAAGGGGAGGAGGACCTCCCCTATCAGTGGACCAGGAGAAGGACATGGGAGGAGTAGAGGGACAGAGGGCGTGATTGGGAGGGAATGAGGGAGGGGGCTACAGCTGGGATATAAAGTGAATAAATTGTAATAAATAAATAAAATGCTTAAAAAAAGAGGTGTGTTGCATATGGCAGAGATAAAGCAATGATCAAGTGTGATCTCATAAATTAGCTGGTCAATGACCATACAAAGAGAAACTGTCTCAGGTTTATAATTACTTAAAGGAGGTGGAAACAATGAATGGATTCCACAGGAAGTACTTTTGGCAGTCTAGGTGCCTGGGCTATGTACTGCGTGAGTTCCAAAGTTAGTAAAAGGAGATCTGGAAACACAGGGTTAAAGCTTGTCTCTGCAGACAGCACATCTCATGGCTTTTAAAGTGTCAGCTTTTTTTTGACCATGGTGGCTAAAAACAGCCTCGATAGGCGATGGACTTCCACTCAAGAGGATTGTGCTGGGACTGGTGAGAGGGGCTGTGGAGGTTATAGCATCTGGAGCCTGACTTCTCGGCATTGGAGTCTGTCCTCTTACTGCACTCACACAGTCTGAAGAGAGAGCACAAAATGTAGACTCTAAGACCACCAAATCACGAGATTCTTAATCTTTAAGCAGTGTGTTGCATTTTCTATTCTGCTTT